CTTGGATTATTTCCTCACAAAATCTTGCCTTGTCAAATAATATCAATAATGTCAGAGATTTGCAACAGGAAAATAGTTAGAGATGGTCATTTATATTACAATACCATACCACGGCTAAAAGTCTCAAGTAGGCTTCTCATAAGCTTGGCAAAATTATTACATATCCTAATACTTGAGTTCCAACTAGCAATACTACCTAGATGGCTATAAGATAGTTCCTGAGTTACATATCTTTAGACCATACAAGGTACTTATTAATCCCAACCCCCGTATGTAGCTTTAGACTATATTCATTCCAACCCCCATATGTGGGTTGAATATCTGGTGCTACGGGAGCACCTCACATTAGGTGCTCCCAATTTTCAAAATGCACATTTAAATATTTCAAAATTTCCAAAAACAATTTGGATGTTAGCACCACATAAATGTACAATCCTTAAGAATTTCAGATCAAAATTCGAAATACACATTGAGAAACAAAAAAGACAAATCCATCATGAATGTTTTGCACAAAACCCCCCGAACATTCCCGAAATGACACTATGGTCCACATCCCGTGATGCTGCCCATTCGATCTCAGATTGGCAGCCGAGGTCGCCTGGGAGCACATAATGTGAGGTCCCCCTGTAGCACCAGATATTCACCCCACATATGTGACATCCAGATCATACATTTCACTTGATGGATTCCCATTTAAATACTCTGTGTACTCCCTCCGTCCTTGAAAGAGTGTACTTTCAACTTTATAAAAAGTTTACTAGAAAGTGATCAAATGGGCCAAATCACCTGATCAGTGCTGTTTTTAAAAAGTTTAGTAGAAATGCGGTGGTTTTTCCAAAAAAGAAAAAAAAATAGCGACAAGGTGGTCTTCTCCAAACCTAACTGTAAATGTGATGGTTTTCTACAATTAACTCTATATAATTTATATTTAGTATCCCAACAATTTCTGTTTGATATTATGGTGGATGAAGATCATATTGCCCCAGTAATCTATTTTCATATACATTTTCTGTGACTATGAATTAAGATTACATGCTTTCTTGCAAGAAAGAAAAAAAGAAAGCGGAAGATGAAATGTCAGCAATCAGATGACATCATTTATGTATATCTAACCTGATGTACCTAGCAGCGTGGTAGGTGGTGTGCAAGTAGGGTAAATATTTTTATATGCCGGATAAATTTGTTATAACAACAGCCAGACGGCATGACTGATCTACATCCAGTTTGATGTAGCAAGTAGGGTAATATCATATCTAATTGGATGAGCTCTTACAATATTAGTATTCATTCTATTGGCTCTTGGGGAAGATACATTGACTGCGTCTGTTGCAGACGGCAGAGAGTAATGTTTATGCATGGAGTATCTGTCACCATCAAGGGCATTTCCTTGAAATTTCGGTGTCTTACGGGGATCACATTT